ACAGTTGGGATTGGGGCTACTGGCGTGGTCTGGATGCCAGCCAACCCGGAGTAGAACAATGGCCAAGTCAAAAGTGTCTCTTCTCCAAAACCTAGAATTAAACAAACTCCGTATTACATAGCCACTCTCCTCCTCTGAGCATCATTCTCTGCGCTCCCCTTAGTCAACCCTCCATTTCAGCATCACAACGTAGTCGGTGCCGCGAGGAAACACCCACGAGGCGGTCGCGTCAGTCACCAAATTCCTGTTCAAGTGAGGAAATACTTGACCTCAATGTCACCGACCACTCTCGGCAATTCAACTGTATCTACATTTTCGTTTGGTTTGAGAAATGGGTTCAGAGACGGAGAATTGTGCTAACCATCATGCGTGTCCATAAATAGATGTGGGAACACTGGCCTAACAGCCACTTTGGTTGGGGTAGAAGAGGATTTGATACAGGTGGGTGGGGGAAGGGTTGCGTTTCTGCTCCTCCTTGCCACGTTGCTCTCACTTTGGAGCTGTTTAGTCATATCTACCCCGGCTCTAACCAGTCAGTGGAGAAGTGGAAGCGGTACTGCGAGTTCGCTTCATCGACAACTTTATGCAGGTACAGTGGGGAAACTCCGCAATGAATCTACTCCACATGGCTCGCGGCCAGTGTCACTTCGGTTGTTAGTGGCTTTCCTGCAGGACATGGAGCTGGGGTAGTTGCCGTGAGTAGACGTCAGTTTTAGCTCTTCTGTTTGGGGGATTCATTGATTCTCCCATTCATAGCACATGTACTCCCTCCGCTCCACTAACCTTTACCACTCAGCAGTGCAAATCAGGATAGGTGTCCTTTAGGATGGGGTTTGCTTACCGCTGCCACCAGTGTAGCGTCCTGAGACTTTGCAGAAGACGAAAGGAAAAGTAATACATGGGCAGAATGTATATATTCGACTTGGAATGTGTATTTGGGCCACTGGCACGGCCAGAAGGCTAGCCCACATGTGTGGTAAAATGGCCAAGACGGCGGTGGCTCTTCACCAAAACCGAGAGTAAAAATACCATCATATTAGGCTTTAATCATGTGCTTGCCTCCTGGATCTCGGTAGCGGATTATATTGTAATTTCGCCGCTGTACTTTTGCCGGGAGGCCTGGAGATCAGGCCATGCTAATCGTCTTAAGCCTTTTTGTGCATTTTAATGTCATATTATTTTTATGTTTCTTTCTAACTTGTATTTAGCAAATTTTTTCAATTTATCGAAAAAAATGAATCAATCTCAAATTTCAAGACAAATCCATCTCATATTAAGGATCCAGAATATGTTAAAAAATAGGTTTTAAAGTTACAAATTCAAACAGTTATATTTAGTGCAAGAAATCATGCGTAGGCTTTAAGTTAGCTTGTGGAGTTTAGAAAAGGTAATTGTGTTTACCTATACTTTTCTCTTTTGCCCATTTGAAAGGGAATCAGTGTGCCCTCATCTAAAATAATCTGCTTTGCTTTTTGCGTGTGTGGTTTTTTGTCTATTCCAAAAACTTTGTTTATTTTTTTCTAAGCATAATGTTTAGTTCTGCGGTTGCGCTGTGAATAAAAATTTTCCTACAGAAATCCGCAGGATTAGCTTCATTATATGATCTTTTAAACATGGTTTTTACATATTTTACTTCCCTTTTCAATATTTTTAATCATTACACCATAAATGTCTTCTTTTTATTGATGCTACTGCTGAATCTCATCCAGCAAATCAGCAACATCTGATCAACTGCCTTTCGTTGGTATAGCGAAACCTTCGTGTTTATTTGCGGTTCGTTAGTCTTGCTTACTTCATGCAGTGGAGGGTTTATGCTGAACACTATATAGATGGGGACCCTTTTCGGGTTTGCCAAATTTTTCGGTCGTGTCTTGCTACTAAACAAGCGTTTTTGAATGTTTACTACTTTCTTGTTGTAAACAACTTTCCAAGTATGTAGCTTAGTTCCTTTTCCCAATTCACTTCTCTCTTCGAAAGGTGCAGTTTTCCACTGATATATTTTAACTTTAGTTTTGGTCTTGCGACCGTTTTGTCTTCTCTGTAGTGCTTTAAACTTATGTTGACACCGTGTTATGTGCACCGTCAATGCGTTGTTCTTGTTTTTAGAACTTCGTGCATATATATTCGTGTTTATTAAGCAAATCATCCGCCATGTGCTTTTTTATGAATCTCTTTTGGATCATCGACAAAAATTTGTAGTGTCTGCCGTGTGTCTGGTCGCCATCGCCCTATGTTATAGATATTTCCCATTCCTTGTTATGCATTCCTTTAATGAGCTTGGGCTACTAAATATACACCTGGAGTGATTCTTTGATATGTATGTCAGCAGAGCCTCAATATTGTTTGTGTTTTAGAATGTTTTCCTCTTCTCGAAGTAATACATCCACCCCTGCTGGAAGAAGTAGCGGATCTATCGAGACTTCTTCAAGTAATACTCGTCAAAAGACGGAGAACAGTCCACTGTACTTCTCCCGCCTTTTTTCCTCCCCAAGTTTGAGGAATGTCAGTACTCTCAGTCCCAGCTCCTCCCCATTTTCCTTTCGGCGAAACATCACCGTCCGCAGAGATCTTCCTCCCTCACTTTTTAACTTTCACTCACCCATTCGTAAACAGCTGTCGCAGTCGCCACAACCTGGTCCTTCACGCCCTCGAAACGCTATCGAGTTTTTAAACCACTCTAATTCCTCCATGATGGAACGCGCTCTTCGAGTGCTTGAGTCAAAACGCCAAAAGCGCTCTAAGGAGTCTCTTCTTGAGGACGAATCCGAGTTGGAACATGTCTCATTGAAGCGTCACCGCAGCAACGAGGAGAATAACAGCAGTCCTCTGCTAGCTAGATCAGTGCCTGTACCCCCTCAGGATGTGGAGGTCATTTCACGACCCAAGCTGAAGCCATCCACCTCTATGACTCGTCCTAGCTCTTCAAAGCTCCCAGATCACGTGTCTCGCCTTTCTTCGGCCACGCTGGAGGCCATTGCTTTTGGGTTGAAGCGCCGACGGCCAAAAGAGGGCGAAGATGAGGGAGGAATAAGGCCAACTGAAACAGAGAGATGTAACAGCGTCGTTTCAATTCTAGACGAAAACTTTTCGCCCTTTTTATCCCCTCCAGCTGCCAAAAGACCCACCACACGTGACTGTGAGACTCAAACTGTATTCCACGTGGACAGCGCCACAAGTACAAACGGGTCTTTGCCGTCGCCGCAGCACCGATTTCGCCCAGCGAGTTCAACCCGATCCACATCAGTGTTGCAATTCGTTGCGGGCTTGGAGGCTAGAGCTCGAGCCATCGCTTTGAGTAGACGGTTGGCCGCATCTCCGGTTAATGTGCTGACTCAGGCCGACTCACTGGAGGCGCGACACGCCAAAATTCGTCGACTGTTTGCTGATCTCACCGAGAAGGCTGAAGTCGATCTTGCTGCTAATTCGTTGCCGGCAACGACAATCGATACAACTGGTATGACGACCGATTTCATTTAGAATACAATTGTGTTATCTCTGTTGCCTTTTGATTATCTGCCCTGTTGGTCTTGTTTTAGGTGCTGATACGACCACATCTAGTCATCCGGACATCACATCTTCCTCTGTGCCCATATCTCCTATAGCATCTTCCGTAGTTGTGTCATCTGTGACACCGTCATCACCATTAAAAGCAACGGAACCAGTGGCAGTTTCCTCTGAAACTGCTTCCATTACCGCTGCTGCTGTAGCAACAGAACCAGTGGTTGCTACAACCTCTTCGTTTGCACTCACTTTGCCCTTGACGGTAAAAGCGTCGAACGTTAGCGAACAGAATTCCGCCCCCGCAACTACAGCCGTCGCTGGCGCCAGTATGATGAACCCTCCGTTTGTCTTGGGAGTGAAATCTACCGTTTCTGCGGAAACCACCTCCTCAACCTCCACTTCCACTGTTCTCTCAATTTCCGTTGCTCCAAGCTTCTCCTTTCCCGTGGAGTCAACTTCTCAGAAATCCGGTGAACAGGGATCTTCTACAACCACCACCTCGACCACCGCTCTCCCCTTCACACTTCCACTCGCCAAATCCACCTCTGCTTTTGGACAAACAAGCTTTGGTGGAACAGCTTTCTCATTGGCTAGCTCCACTACTTCTGCATCTAGCGTTGTTGTTACATCCTCCGCGCCTGGTTTTACTTTTGCTTTGGCGAAATCCACTGCCTCTGGGGGTAACACTACCGTGTCTTCTACGCCGAGTTTCAATTTCTTCGCCGCTTCGAAATCATCCATACCCGTGGTCTCGACAACGGTTCCTTTTACACCACTAGTTACCGCGTCTAGTGGTCTGCCGTCTTTAGCTAGCTCTGTAAAAGACAACCCGGCTCCCTCGTCTGCGCCTCTATTCAGCTTTCCTACTACTTTCACCACCGCCAGTAACACTGCAACAGTAGCTGCAGCCGCCACTACCAGTGGTGGGACCTTCTTCTCTCCGGCCATGACCACCACGAGCGACGCCGCTGCTTCGTCCAACTCTTCAACTGTGTCTTCAGTTCAATCGGGTTTCAGTTTCAGGAACACCGCACCTATTACTGCCCCATCCACTTCAGGAGTGAGTTCGATATTCACCTCAGCGAAGCCGGTGTCTATCAATACGACGGTGGGAATGCTGTCATCAACAGCGCCATCGACGCTTACTCCACCTGCATTCAACCTCTCTTCCAAACCTGATACTACGAAAACGAGCTCCGTCTTTCCTGCTCCTTCTACTACTACATCGTCTGTATTGGTCCCGGCAAAGTCAATGCCCGTTTTCAGTTTTGTACCAACCACCTCTACAACTACGGCTCCAGCATTGTTTGATTTCTCAACAAAGCCAACAAAGACGACTTGTACAACAATAGGACAAGTTACCATGCCCGTAGTCAATTTTGGGACGGCTGGTACCATTGCCGCCGCTACTACCGCGGCTTCTGTTCCTTTCGTGTTCTCAGTGAAATCTGCATTTTCCAATGGTGAAACAACAAGTTCCCCTTTCAGTTTTCCCAGTATGCAGATCACTCCTACTGCTACCGTCGCTACTACAACTGCAAGCACTTCTCCCTTTCCTTTTCCCAAAACTAACACTTCCGGGCTCACTAATGGGGGTAGTTCGGGTGGTCCTTTTGGTACAGCTCCGTTCAGGTTCCAGAACTCGTCAAACTTAACTTCAGTCACCAGTACCGGCGGTTGTTTCACGTTCACTTCCCCCTCCGCGATCCCGACTGCCACAACTACTACTCCGGTCTCCTTCAGCTTCACCAACACTGTCACCACCGCTACTCCAGCAGTGGGAGGTAGTAGCCTAGGTGGCTTTAATTTTTCCTCGGGCGTACCATCTGTCACCGGCTCTTCTTCCACACCGTTTGCTACAAAGCTCGCGACTAGTGTCTTCCAGTTCGGTGCTCAGCCTACTGCAGCTCCCACAACCATCACCACCACTTCATCTGGCTTTAATCTCACCCTACCATCAACGAGAAGCTCGCCTTCTATCTTCTCCAGCATTGATCATACAAAACGTACTGGAGATTCCTCCTTTACCGACGGTCTTTCGGCGCCCAAAATCCAAGCTTCCGCGTTTGGTGGAGGGGCGGTGAATCCATCGTCTTTCGGTGGGACTGGCCTTCAACCCTTCACCTTTGGTGAAAGTAGTAGTGCTGCTAATGCTGGTGGCGGGGGCTTCAACTTCAGCGCCGCTGCAACCAATCCTGTGGGAAGCTTCAATTTCAGTCAGGTACAACCAGCACCTGTTTTCGGTGGGGCTGGTGGAGCGCCACCGAATCCATTCAGCGCAGTAGCACCAACGCCTCCGAATGCGGCTGCAAGCATCCAACATCGTCGGAGGCAGATGCGCTACTCGAGGCGACGATAGTACCCGTGACAACGTGTCGTGTGTGAATTTCGTCTTGCTATATATGCCCCCCACGTCTTCATTTTGCTCTCCTTCTGTCCCCTTTCCTACGCCCTTCCCCCAGCCCATTGTGCCCTCGAGCTAACTAATGGAATGTATATTTAAATTTTCCATTGTGCTTCCTCCACTGCTTTTCCGTGTTTTTCGGGTGGGCGTTCTATCATCGTGGAAATCAGTGTAGCTGGGCTCATGATGTTATTTGAGAGGAGCGGTTAAGGTAGCAGTTTAGCTGTCTAGGTTTAAAAGGACCGACAAGCTAGAGGGCTGACCCATTTGTCAGAATCCGAGTTTTCAGTGAACAAGCCTTGCCGGCTGTTGCTTGAAGCCGGTGCAGGTTGAGAGGACTACCGTTTATCAAGACACTTACACTGTTGGTGGTGGAACAAGTTGACACGAGCGCCGCGTGGGTGAGCCCTGTCCCAGGTGTTTCCACTCCCTCATAACCCTGGCTGGGTACATGCTAAGCGCCGCGACAACTGGAAAAGCGATCTCAAGCTCACTGGCACTACACTTTGTTAGGCTGCCCCCATATTTTCGAATGGGAACGCACGCCGGCTTGACCCAGAGTAAACATCATCGCAGCTTGAGCGCAGAACAAGAACCGCACTTGCTTTTTGGAGTAAACCTTCGTATCCATCAGCCCGGTCAGAGTGGTCTCATCGCGTCCCCCACCCATTCTAATCGCTGAAATGACTCCAGCAGAACCAGCAGCGTTAACAACACACCATGAATCAAAACAATCGCTACTCTGTCGACTGGCAAGCGACCACGATACCGCTGGAACCAAAAATAGTGGTCATAACGACCTTTGTAAAGCAGATATGACGAGAAATCGACAGGGCAGAATTTAAACAGTGCAAAATTGTTCAAGAGAAAACATTATGGCACCACAAAATACTGCGACCAATAACAAAATCGTCAATCCCTCCAATAAACAAAAAGATCTCGTGCTCACCAAGATTTATAAAAAAGCAACTTTCTCAGGACTCATTTGGCATGGAACGGATGATATCTGAGTCTCCTGGATCCTCGATAGCCAAAGTACTTACGCGGAAATACTTGCCACAAGCGGTACCGAGGTCGTGGTTTGTGCCGTTGTAGTGGTGTACACCAGTCTTTGATAGCATGGCATAATATTCTATCTCCGCTTTTCTACAAGTCAAATAAACTCAACTTGATTAATGCGACAGTGGACACATCCTCCAAAAAAGACGGCTAGGATTTCATCTCAGCAACGTGCTCCGAAATCCCAATGTCACCTACCTCAGAGGAGGAGTATTGCTTGCGATAATTATGAGCTTCGCACCTCCGCGACGAAGAGTGCGAAGTGTGTGACGGTACCCTATGGCGGCCTTACCACTTTTAAAGACGAGAGCGAGACGACTGTTGATGGAGTCTAACGCTTTCTAGAAGAGTAATGCACTGCAAGAACGAACGTACGGGCTTCTTCACAGCTGGCTGAGCAACAGACTTCGACTCGGTTTTCTTAGCGGCGGAGGCTGGGGGAGCCATCGCGGCGTGAAAATATCCAAAACTGTCTCTACCACCGTTGTTAATTAAAACAAGTCGTCTTAACAACGAGTTCCTAACGTGCTCAAATTCAGCTTGATCAAATAATCTTTTAGTAAACTTACTGAAGTTGACTTTGCTTGGAACTAAATGTAGGTTGCTTGCAGCGATTGTCGGGTTTCGCAAAAGATTGTACATGCCTTATTTTAATTATTTTCCCATCCACAGATGTCAAGATTTTAGCGTACATTAACTAAAGTGCAACCAGTGGGTATTTTCTGCAACCGAGTCATCTTTGTTTTATTACCATTCCCCAGTAATGTAATTGGTAGCAAGCCTGCAGCTTCCGTGGGCATTTGCTGACCCTTGATTATGTTTGCCCAATTTTAGCATATGCGGCACCTTGAGTCATCCCTTGTGCCATAGTACGCCATGCCGAGATTGGAAATGGTCTTGTGTTAAGGTACATACTCACTCTAGGGTGATAGGTATAACCAGAGGGTCTCTCCTTCTACCGGATTTATAATCTACGGAGCTTAACGTGCAATATGCCGGTTGTTTGCTTAACTTTCGGTTTTACTAAATTGCCCCTTTGTCCTGGCCACTGTATCTCTTTGACGAAATCAACATTGTGATTTCTTCCATATATTTCCTTGTATAAACTAAAAAGGGAACTATATTTCTTGGGGAGTAACGCTATAGTAACCTAGCCAGTAAATGTACAGTGGATTATCTTTGGATCAATCCTTTGCATGCCATTATCTCTAGAAGAAAAATTTATTTAGAAAGATGTGTTCCCTGTGCATTTTACTAGTAACTTTTGTGGCCTAAGCAAACGGTGAGCACACTTTCGACATTTTACTCGACAGGCCTAAAATCTCGTAATTTATTACCTGTCAGCACGCAGCTCGATTATGGGACAATGCGGGGGCCTTGTTTTTCAAACAGTGGACTTACTGCCTAGGTATTCCAAACTAATCACTGCTGCAGTTGGACACTTACTAACGCTTTGACACAAAAGAACAGTACAGGAAACAGTAAGGGCAAGCGGGATGGAGTTACGCATTGTTCCAGTCTAAGAGGTTAATAAAAAGCCTCGGGTATTCCTGTTTCGCTTCAAAAGAACGCCTGGTGTGGAGACCGGCTCAATGCAAAGGTGGGTGGGCTTGAGTCCGAGGCGTGGCGCAGACGGCTGCAGCACTCGTGTGCACGCCCAACAGTGAGTGCAAAGGCGTGTTGCAGTAGTCTGTCCTCAAGCCCGCGTCCGTGCGACCAGGCCACTGCAACCAGGCTACTGTGAGGGGCCAATCAGCGCCGGAGCGAGGCCAAGCTACTGGCAGGCGCTGACTATCGGAAAATTTGAATCACATCACGCAAGAGACGGCTCGCACTTCACTCTCTCCCACTCCTCCTCCTCTTCGTCTGTGCCCGCGCAACAATGAGTGACGGAACCAGAAAAGCCGTGGTCAAGAATGTCGACATGTCGGAAGAGATGCAGCAGGATGCTATTGATGTGGCAACGCATGCGTTTGAGAAGTTCAACATTGAGAAGGACATAGCGGCGTACATTAAGAAGGAGGTAGGTTTTTTTACTGCCGGTCACTTTACCACCACCACCTCCTCTCCTCTTTTTTCTCCCTCCTCTAGTTTGACAAACGCCACAGCCCCACCTGGCACTGCGTTGTGGGGAGAAATTTTGGCAGCTATGTCACCCATGAGACGAAGCACTTTATCTACTTCTACGCCGGACAAGTGGCCATTCTACTCTTTAAGTCGGGTTAGGTGGATGATTTAAGACGGCGATTAGAGGGGTTCTTGTGTTATATTTTCACTCGTTACTGTATAAAATAAACTATCCGTCTGAGCTCTCATAGTCGGTGTTTTTCTTTTT